CCACAGAAAGTGTTTTAGTTGCTGCAAATGTTTTTTGACTAAACCAGCAGTGCTTATATTTTGTTCCAACTTGTTTCTTTTCATAGGGGCTTTCCTAAGACAGTGTGAATGGTTAAACAAAGACCTGAAAATCATATGCTTTGGCTCTGTTCTGAGCAACACCATTGCTGGGTTCTGATTTATGCCCCGTTTAATAACTGTAGCTTTATCAAGGCTACTGCTGTGCACTCTGCTGCGACTTAACCTGATTACACCTTAAACTCTCCATTATGTGAAAGGAGGTAAGTTATACTTAAATGCATTTTCCAGCTTGCCTGACATACATTAAAAATTCTGTTCAAAATTCTTATTATTTCTGAATGACAGAAGCTTAAAATATGGTGGTTTTTTAACTAAAGCTGAAATTCTTATTGAATTCCAGTACTTATTCTTTTAATCTGTCTGCAGTCAGAGAATCAGTATGTTTCAGTGCATTGCTCACCAGTGTGCAATACTAAAACATATGAACTGTTGCAAAACTGACTCCTAATATTAAAAATTGGTAGATTCTGAGGCACTTGCATATGTTTGTGGTTCTTGTATTATATACATGTGCATGAATGCAATGGTCTGGTAAGAGTGAAGATGTGTAGGTGTAAGTTCCCAGCTGCCATCCCTAGGATTAGGGAGAGTCTCCTCGATGTCCTCTGCATACTCTATAAAGTTTGGGTGGTCATGGACCACTCCTTGTGTTAAGAAGGGTATCTTGTCTTACTTCATTGAGGCTGGGTGGCCATGTACTCTTCACACCCTCTTTCAGGGTGCTGGAACTCAGCTCTTCATTTTCCATGCAACCCTTCCATAAACAAGTGACTCTCCCAGTTAGCCTATGACACAGGCTACACACCACATGCAAGGTCAAAGCTCAGCTGCTTCCTGTGCTTTAATTTCACCAAGAAACAAATTAAGAATGAAACAATCAAGTCCCAAGGCTCAGCTAAACCCACCTCCTCATCTTACTGCAACACAGACCAAGTCTCCCCCTGCCAGGACAGCCAGACCCTGGAATCTGCTTCCTCTTCCTAATTACCTCCAGCTGCTGGTCCCTCCTTCCCGCTAGATTGCTGGCAGGTGCTATGGGGTGGGGCAAGCTTCATCCCCATGACAGGACAGTTAAACACCTTCTTTCTCTGTGCTTTGTTCTGCTGACATGCCCTAATCTATGTTAGTGGTTTGTGCTTTTCACTGCTTTGAAGGGTGCTGTGCCATGGTCTGTGACCTCATTCAAGAGGTAATGAAGAACCTCAGTCTTCCTGATTGCAAAGGTAAGCGGAAAAGTGACTTCCAAGGCCATGTCAGAGAGACCTCTAGTAGGATTCTGTAGAAACCTGGAGGAATGTAACCTGTTTGGTGATTATATATTCAGTCTATACACAAGTCATAGTATGTAGTAGAGATGTAGTAAACCAAAGCAAACTTTGCCACAAAGCTACATCCAAAGTAATTTTGATAAATTTTAGGAAGCTGTTTGGTTCTCACTCTTGCCTTCTCAGCAGCAGATCAGACCTCTGCTGCCCTCTTCCCTGCTCATGAGATGAAAATGACTCTTTCTATGAAGTGAGAAGCAAGTCAAGCTATTGGTGGAACTCCAGGTCCCTGTGTCAGTGAATCTAGGCTCTCATCCTGAATTTTTCCAGCTCTGATTTTTTAACTATGCAAATTCAGCTGAATACGATATAATGGTAGGAATGAGGTCTGAAGTATCTTCTATTACATGCATTTAGGAAAAAAAAAAAACAGTTTTGGTCAAGTGCTTTTTTTACCAGTTCGTTCCATCTAAATGGTCTTCCTTTTCTCTCAATTATGCCAGGTAGTCTTATGCTAGATACTACTTCTCACTACAGAGTCTGCAGTTTTTATGCCCCAAAACTATGAAGTCTCCTGCAGCCCTGAATGTATACATAAGATGCTTTATAGCTAGCCATCTAAAAACAACCTCTAAAAAACCAAGCCCACATAACAAAATCTCCAGAAACATTGACTGAAATTGAATATGCTTCTTGCATTGTCTACACAAGATATAACGTATTTCCGGGATTATAATATGCTCCTGAGAAACACATAAATTACAAAAATATCAAAGACATTGTTGAAAACTGCTAGAAATAATTTCAGCAATTTTGTCTTCCTTTGCTCCCTGTAGCTGAAGAGCATATTCCAGAAAGTACCTGTTTGATGATTCTGTAGCGTACCAAACTACTGGCGATGTACAAGAATAGTTAACATAAAAATCTTAGGAGGTAGGTAAATTCTTCAGTAGAAAACATTAACACTTCCAGTTAAAATCAGAATAGTAATGACATCTTTCATTTGAAAGAAAATGAGAATTCTCTATCATGTATTTATGTTTGTGACTTCTAATAATGAAGTATTGGGGGTTGCCACAGTGGATGGAATAATGTTTTGTTTCATGTTCAGAAAAGGAGAAGAAATAGAAATTATGTAATCAGGAGTAACTGAAACGTATTTGCACTATGGACATATTTGGAAGAAAGATGTGGAATTTCCCAACCAACCAACCAAAACCAGTTATGCTTTCTGCCACTGCGGCAACTTAGCACTTTTATTTGTGTCACTTTTACAAGCACTCTAAGTGACAAAAGCCATAGCTAATAGATTTTAATTGTGTGATCTATTTCTATTTGTAATAGACCTCTTACAAGTGGAAAAGACACAAAAATTGCTTGCCTACTCAACAGTTGTGTATGAGGAAAATTTCCTGTGTTGACACAATTCAAACTGCATGTTGTTTCATTTGAAAAAAGTTAAATCCTAAGGGAAATATTTAGGCTTGGAAGAATTCTGCCTAACAGTGTCATACATCTGATAGCTGTAAATGCAGATGTTCCAAAATATGGAGGTTTGTGAGAAAGATAATGTACAAAATTCTCCAAAACAAGGTAAGGTCTCCTGATCTGTGAAAATTTGCCAACTGCACGTTTTAGGTTTTCTGAAATATTCTAAGAATTATCATGAATGCTTGGGTTAACTAGAAACTTTATATAAAAAGCCAGCTTACAAAATGGCAGGAAAATAAATGTGAAGATGATTAAACTGTATACAAAAAAATTATGTCCATAAAATGAGTATCTGGCTATGGCAAAGTGTTGCTTGTGTGCTCATTGTGGTAACTTATTGTGTCTATGGTAATGGCAATTGCACAAATTTCTCTTTTAAGTTATAAAGTGATTGGAATTGTGTCCTTTTGTGTTGTGTCAAGCTGTGAACCTAGCCCTTGTAATAACTGAATCTTTTCACTTAAACTTTGAACGACCTTGTACTTGGAAAATGTTTTCAAATCCCTTTTAGTCATTATAGTTGTTTAGCATCCAAGTACATTGCTTTTAAAGTAAGGCTAGCTTCTCACTGCCTGTGTGTAATAGAGAACAAATGGTCAAGGGGACAGTGAAAAAATATTAGGAAACAGAAGTAAAAAAGGACAGCCATTAAAAGGAGGGGATGTGGAAAAAGTAAAGGCTACATATTACATAGTGACTGGGTAATGTAAGGCAAGAATTAAAAGCCCTCCAAAGCAAAGATAAAGATAAAAACATAAATGTATCAGAATTATGACAGGATGGTCATGGTTAAGTGAACATGTAATAACACAAAGAAATAACTGAAAGTGTAAGATCAGAAACATAAGATGATATGGTATACAATGAACAATGAGCAGCAATAAAAATTATACAGGATGCTCTAAGGAGAGACATGGTATGGATCAGGTAATTGTTGAATCTCCTTGCATCTCCATATAACTGGACAGAAAATACTCAAATGTGGTCTTTCACCTTTAAATTAACATTTGTAATTGTGCAGACAATAACTGCAATCATAATAAAATACTTTAATATAAAGTTATATAAAAATAGATATTTTTGTCTTGAGTAGTCACTTTCTTCTTCTGATAAGGGACTCCAGAGCTCCAAGTGCTGCAAAAAATGACTTTCACACACAAAGCCATCATCAAGGATGCTTGAATGTTTGTCAGGGCCACAGGTGGAAGGTTTGGACCTTGGAGCACATGTTATAATTTGCATGGTATGTAAACCTCCTTTGCTCCTCTGCATGCACATACAGGAAGCATTTTGTTTCTTCTCATAGTGGTACATTGAGGGCAACTTTTCCAAAATCTGTGCAAAAGTTACAATGGAGAAAACATACTTCTGTGTGAAAACATGTATGATATTCCTAGAGCAAGACATGACAATTCAATTGGTGCTCATTTCCAGGCTAAGAAATGTCTTGATCTCATATTTCATTTTCTTTCTTCACTCACTAGCTTGGGGAAAAAAAAATCTAGTCTTTTAATGAGTATTATTGCTTCCCATGTAGGCTACAGGAAATGTGAAGATTTGCTCTGACAACACTGTTTAACTCTTTATTTCAAAACCAATACTCTGCATATCCTGATCTTAAATCCAGCACATTTATGTAGCAGCGCCAGCCCAAATATTTCATGCACTGTTAACACCTGGACCTTTCACACCTTTCTTGGCCTTTGGTTGTAGGGTCTCAAATATAATGCTGGAAATAGAATCTAACTTTCCCGTGTCAGAGTTTGGGTGCTTGTGCATACCGAAGCCTACTCTAAAACCAGGTTTCTGACTCCTGTCCTGCATATATTATGGGCTGGGGCAGGGGCGGGCAAATAAAAAAAACAAACCCAAACCAAAAAGTCCTGTTACATCTCACTAAAGTAAAATGCTGGAGCCTCAGCGCCCCGCATCCAGAAATATTTGCAACACTCGTATATAAATCTCTAGTACCACAACACAGGTGTGAGACAACTATGGGCGTTCCTGTAGTTCAAGAAGGGGCAGCAATCAGCTGGATTTCCCGTCACCCGCAAACAGCTGCGCTCAGCACCGTGGCTGGACAGCAGCTGCTCCTGTACCGAGAGGGAAAATAACACTCAGTCCCCCCCGGCAGGCGCTCACACAACGCGCCCGCCCGCCCGCCCGCGGTGGTGCACCCCGTCAAGGCTCACACACCCCGCACACCGCGACCCAGCCCGGGCGCCCCAGGCTGCGCCTCACGGACACGCCACCCAGCGCGCGACGGTTAGGACCAACGGCAACTCGCGGCCGCCTTACGCGCATGCGCGACCGTGCCGCTCGGGCGGGCAAATTCAAACCTGCCCCTCGCCCCTGCTCTTTGTCGGGGTAGCAGTTGTGCTGACGTCATTGCACCGCGTCTTTCTTCTCTGCGGTTTCCGGCGCTCGCCCTTGCGGTAAGTGCAGCTGAGAGGGGGAAAGTTTTCGTTTGCGTGGTTCACGGCACCGTTTCTCTCCCCTTTCCCTCAGAGGCGGGCGAGCAGGGGCTTGGCGGACCCTCTTCTCCCCTGTCCTGTGTGGAGGGGGCGAGAGGCTTTCTCTACAACCAACGCCGGCGATGGCTTCGGGGAGCGCAGAGGCGCCGCAGGTGGCAGAGCTGAAGGGAGAGTTGCGGCGTCTGGCGGAGGAGCTGAGCAGCTGCCAGGTACCTGAGAGAGAGGCCGTCCCCTTCAGCGGCGGTGAGGGGCGGCCCGGAGCGGCGCGGCTGGGGTCGGGCGGGTACGTCCCTCCTCCCGGGAGGCCTGTGCTCCCCGCCCACGCCACTGGGAACGTCTGGTTCTGGAGGACGGTGAGGGCAAGGCCGAGTAGGGCGGGCTACGGGTTCCCGGCCCGTGTGAGGCAGGACGGCCGAGCAGCCGCCGCTGCGGTTCCCGGAGCGGGAGGAGTCAGCTCAGCGGTGGGGCGCACACTTGTTGGGCCGCGGTGGCGGCGGGCCTCGAGTCCGGCGTGGAGCCCCTCGGCCACTCTGCCAGCGGGAGCCCTGTATGCGCCTCCTGCAGCTGCGCCCGGTGAATTAAACCGGCCCCGGTCTCAGTCTGGTTTAAACGAAACCACTTCGCCTGAAAACCTGCCACCGTCAAGAAGCCACCGTTTATTTACTTGATGTGTAATGGCAACAGTACTGAGGTGCTGCCTTGTGCAATTTCTGGGCAAATGAACTATCAGAGGGTTTATGGAAACGTAGAAGAAACTTTTAGAGGTCATTTATCTTTCAGCGTACCTTGTAGCACGGTTAAGTGTACCCATGCTGTTCTGGAAGGGAGGGCTCTATGAGTAATTGCAGTTGTACTTTCAGAAATTATCCCAGACTGTTTCCTTGTGACCTCCCTTCACAGGTACACTTCCCTCATTCTTCCAGTTGGTCATTCATCGCATATGATTAGGTCTATTTCATGAAAATAACAATGTTGAGATCTTGTCATAGAAATCTATGTTAATTCTTTGCCAAACAAGTCGTAGGGCAGATAAAAAGTATAGGGCAGAGAGGAAGGTGACATCTGATGCTGTGGTTACTTTCTCGCTTGCTTCCTGGTAGCCAGAGCAGCATTTTCGTGAGACATGGTCTTGTTAAAGGCCTCGGCTGACGTAGTCATGTCTGTAAACAGAAAATACTGATTGCGGTAGAGTTATTGGCAGTTTGTTGCTTCAAGCAGCACTGGTAAGCCTTGCACTGGCACTGGATTTCTGCTATGGGAAGAATCCATGCTTTTTGCTAAAACTTGTTGCATGGGAGAACTATGGAGAGAGTAAGCTGTCAGTAAAAATCCTGTTTAGAAATACTGAACAATGAAGAGTTTGGGGATATTTTAAACGTCTTGTGGGAGAAGTTTGGAAAACTCTTTATAATGGTAATTTAGTTAGCTTCATCTTCTTGGTATGCAGATGTGCAGTATCAGACAAAATTTGGTGGAGGCAGAAGGAAGGCCCTGGGCTCTGCTCGTTTGCCAGTTGAACATAAATTGCACATTACTAAAATCTAGTAGCATAAAGTATTTTTGAAGTAAATAGTACAAATATGAATTTCTAATTACTTTGATAATATAACTTGATGTACACAAATTATAGTGAATTATCTGATTTCCCTTTCAGATTCAATTACATGCACATTTCAACTTGTTCCTTGATGAACCCATTCCAATCATTTTGAAGTCAGCAGCCAAAAAAATATTTTAGAATGTATTTCTTTTAAGTCTGATGCATATTATCTTGCCATTCTTGTATCATTGTCTTGTACCAGATCATACAGTTTTCTGGGAGGGAAGCAAGTGAAGAAACATGAAGGTGTAGTTCCTGTATTTAAAAACAGCATCCAGTCAGTGTTCTATGTAAACTCTCCAGCTCTAGGTAGAACCCAATACATACCATCCTTAAAACAACAGAGGTTGCATGTATTCAGGATTTATTTTAGGTTATTAATGAAAAGGAAAGTGAAGCTGTAATCTGTCAGCAAAGGTTCATCTCTGAAAGCACTGCGGTATAGACATATACATTCTGTATCATTTTACTAACCATGTACGTAATAATGTAGAAATTAAGCATGCATATGTTATGTAAAAAATTGGGAACCCGCATTTTAGTAAGTAAAGGAGGTGGTAACCCAGTCAGTTGTGCAGCTTTTCCAAATTAGATTTATCTAATTATTCCTTTTTTTTTTTTTTTAAGTTTTGTGAAGTTACTCTGAATTTGAATAGGAGCTAAAGAATACTTCACTAAAATTCTTCAGCTGGCTTAAAAATCAACTGGTAAAATTATTCGGGGATGGTTAGTCTGTTTTAAATTCATATTTCACATGAAAACTTTGTACAAAGACAAGCCATTTGAAAACATAATTATATGGGCAATGTTAATGTTGTACTCTACTAATTTCTCCAGTGTTGAAATATGAAGTTTTTACTGACCAAATAATTACTTCAGTGGTAATATATTTCACCTAGTGTGATTTCCTTAGTTTCATTTCCATGCAAGATATTCTTCTTTTTTTGTCTTGTCTCGTAGCATTTGTAGGTCTTGTTAGTCAGGATCATGAAACTATTTAAGTTGGAAGGAATCTCTTGAGATCACCTTTTCCACCCAACCCTAGAATGGCTTTCTCAGGATGGTGTCCAGTCAGGTTTGTGTATTTCCATGGCTGGAGGCTGCAGTTTCCTAGGGCAACCTGTGCTAGCGTGTGAAGATTCTCATGGTAAAAGTCAGGCTCTGTTGAGATTTCCCTTGACTTCGGTTCTGTTGGGTATTGTTATATCTTTTGGAGACTACCTTAGCCTGCTTTCTGGATAGAAATATATGTAAATGTCTTAGAAAAAGATGTTAGTAAGAGGGTGTTATCTTTTAATCCAGCAACTGGATAAAATTGCCTAAAGTTTTTTTTGTTTCTTTTTTAATTCTGAGTAAGAAGCTCGCAGATACAGAAATTGCATTTCTGAAACAGGCTTCCGAACTGAAATAGTTAAACTGAGAAAGTTTCATAGTGTACAAACTAAAGGATTAGCCTTAAGTATTTTTTCAGTACTAGCCTTTTCATTTGGATAATATTTTTTCTAAAGAAAAAGCAACCATTTATGGAGTGACTGAGGCTGAAAGTTTTAATTTGTTCTAGGGAGCACTAAACAAGGTTATAGAAATAGAGATGTATACATCCAACAGATGTATATATTTGGCACCCAAATAAAATATGGCAAGTTTCTTTTTGACTTATCCACACCTCATTGGACTACTACTTTCACTGTCATATAAACTGTGCTTCTGAAATGAAGTTTCTCCACTGGGAACTAGAGGCTGTTGATGATGTGGAGTCCACTGGCTAAATATATGGCAGCCTTCTTTGGCTAATGAAGCTCCTGAGTTTTAATAGAAGTACCGTGCATGCTAGCTTTGCTCTAACCACAGGTATTCCAGGCATCTGCTTTTGGCCATTGTCTCTTTTCTGCAACAGAATCCTAGAGTATCTGACCCTTTTTCTCATCTGGACTGGTGGCCTTTATGTTCAAAACAAGTTTCGTTTTCTTCTTAAGCTAGCACTTCCCACCATTTAAAGGCGCTTAAGAGTCAAGAATGATATTTTGAATATTTCCTTTCCATTTTTTTTTTTTTTTCCCCCTGTCCATTCATTTCTAAAAGTAAGATACTGCTGCTGAGTTTTGATCTTGGCATCTTAGGCTAGCAGTATTTGGTATTTTCCAAACACTAATACTAATGCAAAAGACACTGTGAGAGCTTGAATCATAGTAAGCAAGATTGTGGAGGAGGGCCTGTTAAAAGCATAACAATTTTTTTGCAGTCACTCTGTGAAACTGTTGTTTCCTTGTAATTGTGTGATGGAATTTACAAAAATTTGCCCAATTTGAAAATGAATTTCCAAAATAAGAAAATAGGCCAAAGCTCCCAGATAGTCTGCTGAGGAGACTTGTATAAAGCTGAGGGAATGAAAAATAAATCTAAATTATGTTTGCTTCTGTATTATGCTATTTTGGGAAAATTATTGTTGTGTCTGTGGTAGAGCCTCTGGTTTGAGACTGGGTTTTCCACATCCAGTTAAGTATCTTATCTTGCTGGATATACAGTCAGTTGGAAGAATCAGGTGTGTACTCTGTTTTTACATATTCTGTTTGTGATATCCACAAAAGTATGTTGGTTTGACACAGCTTCCTTTCTTTTTTTCTAGCCTAGGATCTCTTCCTTTATTTCTGAATGTGCTGATTTAGGTTCAAACAAGTGTCTTAGCAATTTACCCATTATTAATTCAAAAAAAAACCAACAGTCTTTATTCATTGCAGCTTTGATTTCAAAGGTCACGTGGCATCTCCTGCTGCTAAAATAAGGAGTTGTTTTCTTCATTGAAGACTTTGTTCTAAATTCATGATTCTGCAAAAACTGGGAGTACCCTGTCTTTTTTTCTGCAGTTATATATACAGCTTTTAGGGAGCTCTTGTTATGTTACCTTCTCTAGCTCATATGCTTTTCTTGTCAGTTATGGTTCTAGCACCCTCTCCTTTTCTGTGTCAGAAATTTATAGGTATATATATATGTGTGACTAACAGGTCTCTTGAGCACACCATTACAAAGTACTCTGAGCAGTTTATATCCCTGACTTGAAAGGTACAGTCAGTCAGCTGCCAATGGTTTGCAGGCCACTGACATTTAGTCAGAGAAACCGTAGTGCCGCTTATAGTTTTCAGTTTACAAATGCACTTTGTAAAAACCAGAAAATTCTCCATTTGTTAAGAACTGTGTGTATCTTTAAGTGTTTTTGCGTAGAGGAGGGACAAGAAAGGTGAGTTTACTTTGTTGAAAGTGGAGTGACAGAGGTTTAATCTGCTGCTGGCTTTGTTTCAAGTTTTATGTTTCCAGCTTTCTGTGAAAAGGTGATCTTGTATTATTTTATATGCGGTGTTTACAGAAAACACCCAGTATTGTGGTCAGATGGATTTTCTTGTTTTGATCACTTTGTGGGTTTGAGAGGTATGTAAAATATTTTATTTGGTATTGCTAGCATTGGTAACAGATACGATTGCTACAACAAACTTATGAAAAATAATTAACTGGAAAAACAGATGCATTCTTTCAATTTAATATCCAGGCCACCCATTAAAAATAATGTAGGCATAGTAACATTGACTTATAAGTGATTTTACCCTCCCCCCTTAT